GAAAAGTGACATGGGTACATTTAATGACATGTGAGTTAGAAAGAGCATGGAACTCCTGTCTTTGCTGCTATCTTTTGCTTTTAGGTACATACATTTCTGACCAATTTGACCAATCCACCCACACTAAAATGGCTGGAAGAAACATTAACATTAACAACCTTAGATATGCAGATGATACCACTTTGGTAGATATGCAGATGATAACACTTTGATAGCTGAAGGGAGCTGAGGAGCCTTCTAATCAAGGTGAAAGAAGAAAATGCAAAAGCTGGGTTGCAGTTAAACATAAAAAAACAAGATTCTGGCAACCAGACTGATTGATAACTGGCAAATAGAAGGAGAAAATGTGGAGGCCGTGACAGACTTTATATTTCTAGGTGCAAAGATTAGTGCAGATGAAGACTGCTGCCAGGAAATCAGAAGATGTTTACTTCTTGGGAGGAGAGCAATGACCAATCTTGATAAAATAGTGAAGAGTAGAGACATCACAGTGGCAACAAAGATCCACATAGTTAAAGCAATGGAATTCCCTGTAGAAACCTATGGATGTGAGAGCTGGACCATAAGGAAGGCTGAGCGAAGGAAGATAGATGCTTTTGAACTATGGTGTTGGAGGAGAATTCTGAGAGTGCCTTGGACTGCGATCCAACCAGTCCATACTTCAGGAAATAAAGTCCGACTGCTCATTGGAGGGAAGGATATTAGCGGCAAAGATGAAGTACTTTGGCCACATCATGTGAAGACAGAAAAGCTTAGAGAAGACAATTATGCTGGGGAAAATGGAATGGAAAAGGAAGAGGGGCGGATCAAGGGCAAGATGGATGGATGGCATCCTTGAAGTGACTGCTTGATTCTGAAGGAGGTGGGAGTGGTGACGGCCGACAGGGAGCTCTGGCGTGGGCTGGTCCATGAGGTCATGAAGAGTCGGAAGCGAATGAATGAATAAACAGCAACAACGCTCACACTAAAATCTAGATTTTTGAAATAGGATATAAGGGGGCAGCATGGTGAAGTGATTGGGGCAATCGGCTATGGCTCTGGAGATGAGGGTTTAAATCCCCATTTGGCCATGGAAACTCACTAAGTGACTCTGGGCAAGTCACATTTCTTCATCTTCAGAGAAAGGCAAAGGCAGCCCCTCTCTGAACAAATCTTGCTGAGAAGATCCTGTGATAGGTTGCCTTAGGGTTGCCATAAGTTCAAGATGACTCAAAGACACACGGCAACAACACCTGAAGAGGTTGTACAACAGTTTGAGATTTCTTGTTTTCCATTTATGAAAACTTGGAACCTATAAGGATTTGCTCCAATTCCACCATATGCATCCCACATACAGAATGCCTTATTAACATTACTGGACCTTTCAAAATCATATGTTTTGGTTTGTATACATGTTAAACACAGTTTAGCATTATGAGAATGTATGTAATCTCCCACTGGATTCACCTCCTCTGGGATATCCACGAGGAAGGGTTCAGAAATGTTCATTTCCAGTTTTAAAACAGCTGCTCGTTGCTTTCTAAACATGAAAAATATGTTAATCTTAACTGTGTTTAGTGAGACCCAGTCAGCTTCATTAGTTTCACTAATTACTGGCAAGATGTCAGACAAAATGCTTAACTATGGTTAATCATGAGATGTTTCCTATTTCCTGTTTAAAATCATGCTGGATTAGAGGAGGAGCTTACTGACTGTGGGTGGATACAACCTAAGTTATTTTTATATAATGCTAAACTATAGTGCTTCATCTGATGGCTGCCTGAACTCCAAAACTATTTCCACCACTTTGCTTCACATATGCTATGTTTGATTCTACACAGGACAAAAAGAAAACATTAATCCGTCTAATCTGGGGTTCGCTGTGCAACAGTATAATCCTCTGGAATGTTATCTTCTCCAGCCCATAATGTCTACTTTATAGTAATGGGCAGCCAAAACAACACATAGCATTTCAAAGGTACTCACTGGATTTATGGAGTTTTGGACCACTTTAAAAATCCTAAGAAGTTGATGAGGCAAGATCTTTTTTCCTTGATTTTTGTTCCTCAGATTTTTGTCCTTGTATATTATGGATACCTTTATATATTATGGATATTTTTATTTTAGGGACCGGGCTGTGGCACAGTTGGCTAGGAGTCAGCTGTCAGCTGCATTAAATCACCACTGACCGAAAAGTCATTAGTTCAAAGCCAGCCTGGTTGGGGTAAGCTCCCTACCATTTGTCTACCTTGCTGTCGACCTTTGCAACCCAAAAGTCAGTTGCATCTGTCAAGTAAGAAATTTAGGTATTGCTTAAGCGGGGAGGCTATTTTATTTTATTTTATTTTATTTACAGTATTTGTATACTGCTTTTCTCATCCCGAGGGGGACTCAAAGCGGTTTACACATAAGTAATGGCAAAAATTCAATGCCAGTACAAACAATTACAATTATACACTACAATTAGACATGAATTAAATTAAAAAATACATCCATGAGCAATAAAACAATCACTAAAACAATAAAACTGTCTCCAAGAAAATACTACAACTCCAAGAAAATCCTGCCAGTTTACCAGGTGTTTGGATTTCTGGGAGTTGAAGGCCAAAACAGGTTGAGAACCACTGCTTTGGAAGAACAGTTCTGTTCTGATAGCTTGAGATTTGGCTTGAGAAGAAAGAGAATGTTCATTGACCTTTAACTAATTTATGACGCCATAAAAATCTCCAGCAGCGGGTGAAATTTATGATGTCATAAAAATCTCCAGCAGCGGATGAAATTTATGACGCCATAAAAATCTCCAGCAGCAGGTGAAAGAATGAGGAAGTACACCATCAAGGACTCAGTGTCACAAGTGGACCATGAAGCAACAGCTCCCCCGGTGGCCGGAACTCGAGCATACAGCTCATGAACCTGGAATGTTAAAATTGCCTCTGGGTTTGTCTATATATGTTGTCTGTCTATGGCATTGAATGTTTGCCATGTATATGTGCATTTGAATCCGCTCTGAGTCCTCTGAGGGGTGAGAAGAGTGGAATATAAATGCTGTTAATTAATTAATTAATAATTTATCTTACTCTGGCTGGGTTTTTTATGGGTCTGTTTTTGGGATCTCATTTTTTTGTTGTATTCTCGACACTGTATGCTTTGTATTTTATTATCATTCGTGACTTCATTATATCACTGTAAGACAATCTTGCAGGAAGTAGAAAACCTTGGATTACAAAGTAAAGAAAGTTAAATCCCTTTCAGGGGAGATAAAGCGGGGCATATAAATAAATAAATAAATAAATAAATAAATAAATAAATAAATAAATATAATAATGATTATTATGCTTTCTGTCTGGGAATATATATAACTTGACAAAATTTTTGCTAGATCCTGAGATCAATGTATTATTGGTGTGTGATACTTTCTACCATCCAATTATTAAGAAATAAAACAGGGTTTTAGTGATAAGTTATATATTTTAGTTCAAAGATCAGCCAGTTAAGGTTCTGAAGGATTCTTGGGTGAATGCCATCAATTCACACTGACTGTTACTGTTTAGTCTATTGGGTTAAAAAACAGCCAATTCTATTTGGTTTAATATTGTGGCATTTATAGGACTTTCTATTTGGTTTATTGAACTTCATCTGCTCTGCTGGAAAACAAGTGTTTCATCAGTATCATCCATGCTGATATAACTGATGCAAATAACACCTATTTCCCCTGTACTTAATTTTGTTTCAGTATTACTTTTACATCCTTCCGACTATATTGCTGCTTCTGATGTTTTTAATTTACACATTTATTGTTAGCTTTTAAAATATGTTTATCAACTTTAGCTTTAACTATGCCTTCTGATACAATTGCATTAATTTTCTTGAACAGTTGTTCTCAACCTGTGGGTCCCCAGGTGTTTTGTCCTACAACTCCATGAAATTCCAGCCAGTTTACCAGCTGTTAGGATTTCTGGGAGTTGAAGGCCAAAAACAGGTTGAGAACCACTGCTTTGGAAGTACAGTTCTGTTCTGATAGCTTGAGAAGAAACAGAATGTTCATTGACCTTTTAAGAAAAATACATTTTATAGAAATACATTTTAATATGTGTATTTGTGGTATTTTTACAATGTTTGTGTGTTTTAATTATTCTGTGACTTGCCTCGAGCCACAAGGAGAGGCAGGTAAGAAGTAAAATTATTATTATTATTAAGAGCAAAGGAAGGAAATTCGAGAATGCATAGACAACTTCACTTTAAAGAAGATCATTTGGATGAAAAGAGTCAACCAACAATTACTTTCATTACAAATGCAGCTGCAAAATGATCAAAGATCTGGAGACTATGCCCTATGAGGAGTGGCTTAAAGAGCTAGAAATATTTAGCCTGAGAAGAGAAGGATGAGAGGAGATGTGATAGCCAGAGGCGGCCCTAGGTAATTTGCAACGGTAAGCAAACCAATCACTGATATGTATTTTCTGCTCGTTGTGGAAGTTCTGTATGCCATATTTTAAATTCCATCATTCTTGGAGTTCAGAATGCTCTTTGATTGTAGGTGAACTATACATCCCAGTAACTGCAACTCGCATATGTCAAGGTGTATTTTCCCCCAAGAGCGCCTCAAGAGCGCCCTGGGCAAAATCAACTATACTGCAAATGCTTACTTTGCATAATGGGTTAAGCCGCACCTGGTGATAGCCATATAGAAATATATTGAAAGATGACATAAGGAAGAGGAAGCAGGCTTGTTTTCTGCTGCTCTGGAGACTAGGAGTCAGAACAATGGGTTCAAATGACAAAAAAGGAAACTCCACATAAACATTAGGAACCACTTCCTGACAGTGAGAGCTGTTCAACAGTGGAACTCACTGCCTCGGAGTGTGGAGGTGCTTTCTTTGGAGGCCTTTAAACAGAGGCTGAATGGCCATCTGTTGGGGGGGGGGGATTTTGATTGTGGCTTTTCCTGCATGGCAAGGGGTTGGACTGGATGGCCCATTTGGTCTCTTCCAAATCTATGATTCTATGATTCTGGAAATTACCTCTTGAAGTCTGATCTCATCTGGCTGGAGGATATTCAAAACGCCACTGCTTCTGACTTCAGGAAGATCCTGCCATAAGTTAAACCTTGAGTTGGGATTCCTGAGCAAGTTGATCTGGGGAACTGCCTTGCTCTCAATGGCATCTGTAGGTTCAGTTTCTGATGGCGCCTCTTCACCAGCTGAGCCCTCTTCAGTATCTGTTTGAGAATCTTGCAGTCTCCTGGTTTCAATCTCTTGTCGAGTAGATTTATCCCGATATTCTTGATACAAGAGACCTAGAAAGTACCAAAGTGTGTCAGATGTTACTGAACAAGTATTATGTTTGCATGAGAAAAACAAACATGTCAGAATCTACTGTTAAAAAAAGCCCAGACCAGTGAATACCTTTGTAGCTCTTCTCTTTCCTTACTACTGCCAGAAGAACATGGAAAAGTTAAAGTTGTATTCAGAGACAAAGACAATATTCAGAGTAGTAACTCTCAAGTCAGTTAATATTTCCAGGATTGTGTTTTTGATTTCTCAGACCTTAGAAAAACAACTAAAGAACACATTGGTCTAGCTGGATGAAGCAAGTGATCCAAGTATGTAATTATTAGGCAAATAACGGCGCTCCATGCAGCCATGCTAGCCACATGACCTTGGAGGTGTCTATGGACAACGCCAGCTCTTTGGCTTAGAAGTAGAGATGAGCACCAATCCCCAGAGTCGGACACGATTGGACTTAATGTGAGGGGGAAAATTACCTTTACCTTTTTTTAAAAAAGCCAAAACTACTAGTTTGTTTGATTTGGAGGAGAAATGCCTCCCAGGGCAAAATATAATTATCAGTCAGATTTTGCACATGAGGAAATAGAATTAACTTTGATTTTCCAACAATGTATTTAATCAAATTTTATATCATCCAATACTCTTCTTTAGCCTTGAGGCTCAAAAGGAAGATTTTCTTTTTAAAAGTAAGATCACATGGTGACGCTCCTTCTGGTCTAAACAAAATGCCACTGAAGTACTACCCATAAAGATCAGAAACTCACACCAAAAATGTATTTACAGGAATTTAATTGAGGGATGCTCCCCTTTCCTCCTGTATCCGCAGGCAATATTCCAAAACATTACAGTTTCAATAAGTCAATTCTTCATAAACATGCTGGAAATATGCCAAATGCGCCAGCATTCTCTCTTTCCCTTTCATCTGAGAACTCTTCCTTCTATGACTTGCAGTAATATCTGAACTAGAAAAGATATGGTTAGCACTAGCTCTAATTCCCTCAAAACCAGGAATCCCCTGCAAACATTGCTTTGGTTTTAAGATGGTTCCAAGTGGGTTTTTGAGACAATTCCATCTTACATTAAACTATGTTCTGTTGTCAGTTACAGATCTTAGGAAAGTCATGGCAGCTACCTGGATCAAGAGAGAAATTGACTAGAAATTGACTAGAAAGTACTTTGAAAACTTGTGAAATCCCACAGGTCAGAGTAATACATAGAAGTATGCAACTGAGCCAGAGGCTAATTCTTTCCACCGTACACCCTCAGTGGCATGTTGTTCGACCACTGCTCTGGAAGCAATGTCAGGTCACTTGTGGTTCCTGCTTTGTTTATTTTTTGCTATTAATGGGGCGAGGTGATCTATGTTGACAGATCAAGGAGTTTTGGAGGTAATATTTTCATGTTAAAAAACCACATGAAAATCTTTTCCAACATGTCTTAGGGGTCTAAAACAGGCATGGGCAAACCTCAGCCCTCCAGTTGTTTTGGACTTCAACTCCTATAATTCCTAACAGCCAATAGGCTGTTAGGAATTGTGTGAGTTGAAGTCCAAAACACCTGGAGGGCTGAAGTTTGCCCATGCCTGGTCTACATGCTTTAGGGGGTATCCCAGAGGTCTTGAGGGCTGAGAAACATTGTGCTGATACATCCCCTGATACATGAGACACTCATGAAAATATTCTGCTACCTTCAAAAGGCAAACTATAACAATGCAAGAGCAATCTTTCAAATATTCATCACACTCCACAGAATGAACAGGAGCACCTCATGCTCAATATTATCAAAGACTAGTGAAAGACTTAATTCTTTACAATTAAATATTTGGACAATGAGTAGAGAACAGTATTCTTTGGACAGTAATCTATATAAATAAAAATGTAATGCCTGCTTGTGGGATTAACATAACTCAAAAACCACTGGATGAATTGACACCACATTTGGACACAAGACACCTACTAACCCAAGGAGTGACCGTCACTTAAAAAATTGATTTTGTCATTTGGGAGTTGTATTTGCTGAGATTTATAGTTTACTTACAATCAAAGAGCATTCTGAAATCCAGCAATGATGGAATTGAACCAAACGTAGCACACAGGTCTCCCATGACCAACACTAGAAGGGTTTGATGGGCATTGATCTTGAGTTTGGGAGTTGTAGTTCACCTATATCCAGAGAGCACTGTGGACTCAAACAATGATGGATCTGGACAAAACTTGACACAGATACTCAATATGCCGAAATATGAACACAGGTGGAGTTTGGGGAAAATAGACCTTGACATTTGAGAGTTGTATTTACTGGGATTTATAGTTCACCTACAATCAAAGCGCATGCTGAACCCCATCGACGACATAACTGGGGCAAACTTCCCACACAGAACTCCCATACTTAAGGCCATCCAGTCCAATTCCCTTCACCAGGACAAGAAAACGTAATCAAAGCCCTCCTGACAAAGAGCCATCAAGCCATAGATATAGATAGATATATATGATTCACACACACAGAGAGATATAGTATCATAAATTTGAAAAGGACCCCTAAAGAAGGACAACTGCATGTTGCATGTCCCAGAGCGGGCAAACCAGACAATCTCCACATCAACACTGACAAAGAAACAGCAAGAAATACTGTTTACCCACAAGCATAAAGAAATTACATATATCAGAAGCCAGTGCTTTCTAATTACTTTATTTTCCAGATCACCAGACTGGGCCACAGCAAGGCGTGGCAGGGGACGGCTAGTAACTACTATATGTTCAAATTGTATTTCTTTTAGGGCTGCAGAAATACCACAAAATTTCACAGATCTTCACAGCAATAAGAGAATGGAAACTTCTATCACACATTAGTGAAATTTTGTAGGTCTTTCACTGGCTAAGACGTTGTTTGTTTCAACTACAGAAGACCCATTTAATTTATTGTTGAATGGTGAATCAACACAGTAGTAAATCCATTGACTCAGTGGGTCTGTTCTAGTCAGGACAAACAACAGAATTGTGCCAGATTGTTTCAGAGCATGTACCATAAAGCCTATTTCACACACATTGAAACACCAGTTACGAGACTTGTAAAAACCAGCTGTGAGATATTCTCTCAATCTGAATGTTAAATGCAATTAACTTTCCGACTAAGCATGGAAAGTACTGGCATTGGACAACAGATATACATTTCTTTAAAAACATTTTACATGTTATTTTAGGAATACATTTAAATTATAATTCCTTAAGTACTTAGACACACTTCTGCAGAGGCCGCTGGTTATTTTTATGTCTGTAGTCGAATGAGCCCATTCTACTTATGCTGTACTTTAAATGAGCTATCCAAGGTGCTGATCCTATTGGGAAGGGGTACAGTGCCCTCAGTGGTGCAGTGAGTTAAACCGCTGAGTTGCTGAACTTGTTGACCGAATGGTCGGTAGTTCGAATCCGGGGTGCGGGGTGAGCTCCTATTGTTAGGCCCAGCTTCTGCCAACCGAGCAGTTCGAAAACATGCAAATGTGAGATCAACAGTTGCCACTTTGGCAGGTAGGTAATGGCAATCCATGTAGTCATGCCAGCCACATAACTTAGGAGGCGTCTATGGACAATCTAGGAGGCGTCTATTAAAAATGGAGATGAGCACCTCCTCCCAAAGTCAGACACATCTCTTCAGCTTAGAAATGGAGATGAGCACCACCTCCCAAAGTCGGACACATCTCTTCAGCTTAGAAATGGAGATGAGCACCACCTCCCAAAGTCGGACACATCTCTTCAGCTTAGAAAGAGATGAGCACCACCTCCCAAAGTTGGACACATCTCTTCAGCTTAGAAATGGAGATGAGCACCACCTCCCAAAGTCAGACACAACTAGACTTTAATGTTAAGGGCAAACCTTTACTTCACTACATTTTAAAACCTGATATAGCTTCTTTACATTTCAGACTAGAACCCAGAGTGGATTCGCCTTCCCAAAACAGGGCACTATGCCTAGCAGTTTAACATGATACACTCAACTGCTATTATACGGAAGTCATCATCTCCGATCTGCATGTATTTTACAGTGGGAGGGTGGCCCAAATGGAATCCTTTTTCCATTTGGCCTTACTGTGAATATATTCAGCAATCGCTTCTTTCTGGAGCGCTGTTCAGAATGGGATTAAAATAGCAAGAGGAGAAGCTGTACCTTGGAAACCATGCACTTTCCTTTTTAGCTTCCCACACTACACTGAAAAGGAGAGATTGCCCTTAAACGCATTGTGCTCTTCTAGTGGAAAGATGCTTGCATAATTCCACTTGAACTACTTCGTAATATATTTCCAGTAACAGTTGAGATGTCTGTTAATAATCTGCTTAACATTTAAAAAGGCACTTAATGTGGTACAAAGGCATACTAAACCTTAGTATAGGCTTTTTGCATGATAGAGAAGCATATCTCGAAGCTGCACTTGATGCACACATAATGTTCCAGAATGTCACTCAATCAAAAAGCATAACAACAACAACAAAAATCATCATCATCATCATCATCATCATCATCATCATCATCATCATCATGCACCTATTAAGAAATGAAGTACCCTAAAATAATCTGAACACAAGCTCTCATTTACCTAGCAATTAAAACAATGTACTGAAATAACCCATATAGAATAATGGAATCATAGAATCTCAGAGAGTTGGAAGAGACCTCGTGGGCCATCCAGTCCAACCCCCTGCCAAGAAGCAGGGAAATCGCATTCAAAGCACCCCCAACAGATGGCCATCCAGCCTCTGTTTAAAAGCCTCCAAAGAAGGAGCTTCCACCATATTACAATTACTGGTTGTAACATGGAACGGTTTTCTACACTACTGTCATGGAAGGACACAGATATTTCTCAGGTATCAAGAGCTTCCCTGACTTACATCACCAGAACAACAAGGTGCTTTGAATGCTACTGCAGTGCAATTGGTAATAATAGGGTAGAAGATGAGTTCCAATATCTGGACTAGAAACAAATAAGAGGACAGCAAAGGAGGATGGCTCCTTTCTCATATGACTCTTGAAATGGACAAGAATATTTAAAGGGCCATGATTTTATTTGGAGGTATGACATAGACGTAATAATGACAGCATCTCCTACTGCTACTGCTTTGTGTTGTTAAACAACGATGTTCTGGAATCATAAATGAATTTGTTAAAACATTCAGTTCACAGGAAAAGAACGTAGTCATAAAAGTTAAGGTTCTTTTTGGTTTCTCACATATTAGGCTCCATATTTTTTTCTGGTTTGTATTAATTTTCCCCATATTAATCTTGTTATCTCAGTCATTCAAAAATGGTGTTCATATTAGTTCACACACAGAGGTGGTAGATACACAAATCAGTCAGTTTCCTTTTTCTTGTACACTTGCTGCAAAACACGAAGAGACTAAATCCTCCACATGTTTATGCAGATGGAAATCCCACTGGGTGAAATAGGATTTCAGTACTGACTTATTGCTAAAGGCAAAATCTATCCTAAACTTCCAATACTGTTCTTGTTTTGGAAAAGCAGCATCAGCAGGGGAAAAACTCTGAGAAGCAGCAGCAGGACAGAAAACTCTTAAATCTGGTTTGCTGTGAGTTTTCTGGGCTGTATGGTCATGTTCCAGAAGCATTCTCTCCTGACGTTTCACCCACATCTATGGCAGGCACCCTCAGAGGTTGTGGGGTCTGTTGGAAACTAGGCAAGTGAGGTTTATATATCAGTGGAATGCCCAAGGTGGGAGAAAGAACTCTTGTCTGTTTGAGGAAAGTGTGAATGTTGCAACTGGCTACCTTGATGGCCTTGCAGCTTCAAAGTCTGGCTGCTTCCTGCCTGGGGGATCATTTCTTGGAAGGTGTTAGCTGGCCCTGATTGTTTCTTGTCTGGAATTCCCCTGCTCTTTGAGTGATGTTCTTCATTTATAGTCCTGATTTTAGAAGGTTTTTTTAATACTAGTAGCCAAATTTTGTTCATTTTCATGGTTTCTTCCTTTCTGTTGAAATTGTCCACATGCTTGTAGATTTCAATGACTTCTCTGTTAGTGTAGTCTAGCATTTCTGTGTTCTCAAATAATATGCTGGGTCCAGGTTGGTTCATCAGAAACTAGTCAAATGGGGTTTATATATCTGTGGAATATCAGGTGCTCTGCTATGGCTGACTTGAATAGTCTGGTTGAATTAATCTGCAGTGCCTTTCAGAGAAGTCAACCATAGCAGAGCACCTGATATTCCACAGATACATAAACCCCATTTTCCAACAGACCTCACAACCTTTGAAGATGCCTGCCATAAATATGGGCAAAATGTCAGGAGAGAATGCTTCTGGAACATGTTTATACAGCCCAGCGATTCTGGCTATGAAAGCCTTCAACAACACATTGACCCTTAAACCTTTTTGTGCCTGTTTTCCTCATTCAAATAATTCCTCTCTGCTTTATTTTCTCTTCATCCTCAGCATCCTAAAACTTGGTGCTTCAAACATGGATGGCTCCAAGCAAGAACAAACAGCTAAATCCTCGCTTGCTGAAGGAGAATTGAAGAATAATAGAGCTAGAGGGGAATGCAAGAACCATTTAGTCCAACCCACTGACATAAAAATAGAAAGTTAAATCACTCCAGAAAGATGGCTGTCCAACCTCTATTTCAAGACTTATGAAGACAGAGAGTCCACCACACTTCTCTGTAGACACGGCAAATTATTGTAAGTGAAGTTAGGGGGTGCTTTAAATGCAATTTTCCTGCTTCTTGGGCAGGGGGTTGGACTGGATGGCCCATGAGGTCTCTTCCAACTCTATGATTCTATGAAGATGTTAAGCGTCCTTACTCCCCTTGCAGCATCTTTATTTTCAAAACAAATGACAGCAAACATCTCAGGCGCACACTGCAGTGGAACTTGTTCCTCGCTGGACTGCCACCCAAATGCTCCTCTTACCTATTTGCTCAATGAAGTTTTTCCAGGAGTCAGCTGTCATGGGGTGAATCATTTGCAGCGCCTCGGGGAAAACAGGTGGGCCATCAGGATGCCCAGGACTCTCTTCCGGAAGAGGCATTGGTCCAGCCATGGAAGGGGAGTTGCTGGGAGAGGAAGACAAACAGGAGCATGAGTACACAGAGGAGCCCTCCTTCCCCTTCTACCCCAAAGGGCAAAGATGTGGGCTATTGCAAGAACGTAAAGAGTCAAGGTAAATTGAGTTGCTGTGAATTATCCAGGCTGTATGGCTATGTTCCGGAACCATTCTTTCTTGACATTTCACCTGCATCTATGGCAGGCACCCTCAGAGGTTGTGGGGTATGTGAACAAAACCTGGCTACCAGTATTAAAAGACTCTAAAATCAGGACAGTGAATCCCTCACAAATGCACTTTTTCCATTCCAATGTCACTCAGGGTTTTAATGTTTTAACATTTTATCTCATGCATTTGGCCTGCCCTTAATGTTTGATTTTTATTATGTAATTTTGCACTGTTTATTTTATTTTGTTATTTTAAATATTCTGTTGTGTTGTATTTCTCTGTTGCTCTGTGTCTAATTATGCTGTATTATTTTTGGGCTTGGACTCACGTTAGCCGCTCCGAGTCCCCTTTGGTGGCGGGTTATAAATAAAGATTATTATTATTATTTGAAACACAACAAGATGAGTCCACAGCAGACACTCTGCTGGCTGTTGTATTAGATCACACGTCGGACACTGCCCAAGTGCCCAGGACTGTGTGATGTATTGGCGAATAATGCATGCAGATACCAGTAAGGTGGCCTTTTGCAGCTGGCAGATGATAATCTTGTCAGCGCCGATTGTGTTTAAGTGCAGGCCAAGGTCTTTAGGCACTGCACCCAGTGTGCCGATCACCACTGGGACCACCTTGACTGGTTTGTGCCAGAATCTTTGCATTATTATTATTATTATTAATAATAATAATAATAATAAAGATTATTATTATTATTATTAAGAACACCACTCAAAACACAAAGGAATTCCAGACATGAATCAGTCAGGGCCAGCTAACACCTTCCAACAGTGGAACTCTCTGCCTTGGAGTGTGGTGGAGGCTCCTTCTTTGGAAGCTTTTAAACAGAGGCTGGATGGCCATCTGTCAGGGGTGCTTTGAATGCAATATTCCTGCTTCTTGGCAGGGGGTTGGACTGGATGGCCCATGAGGTCTCCTCCAACTCTATGATTCTATGATTCCCCCAGGCAGTAAGCAGTCAGACCTTGAAGCTGAAAGGCTATTCAGTGTTAATCAAGGTGGCCAATTGCAACATTCACACCTGCCTCAAACAGACAAGAGTTCTTTCTCCCACCCTGGACATCATTCCACAGATATATAAACTCCACTTGCCTAGTTTCCAACAGACCTCACAACCTCTGAGGATGCCTGCCATAGATGCAGGTGAAACGTCAGGAGAGAATGCTTCTGGAACATGGCCATACAACCTGGAAAACTCACAGCAACCCAGTGATTCCGGTCATAAAAGTCTTCAACTCCAGGTAAACCGTCAGTACCTGACTGCTCTTCTGAGGTGAGGCTGAGTGTCATGGTGCTCAAGGTTCAGAGCTGTCATTTTTGTGTACCTTCGAGTCATTTCTCAATGACGGTACGAACCTTAAGGCATGGGATTTTCTTCGGAAGAGGTTTCCCAACCAGTAAAGCCAACCAAAGCAAAAGATGGGGTGGGCACATACTAGAATTCAACCCCACTGTTCCAGAGCATAAGAAAAGGGCTCATAGAGAACCTGGAAATTGAATCACACCTTTCTGAGGGTGTTATGTTCAAATATTGTAAACGAGGGGCACAACCAGGCTCTCTTGGGAAGGGGCATATTCTCCTCCTGAACACCAGAAACCCTTCTGTCTGACTGTGTGAGGAATGTAGATCGGTTCTGCTCCCAGATACCATGAAGGTCTAAAGAAGAAGGGTCCAGTTGAAAGCAGGGACAGGAAAACAGGCAAGGGATGCATCCACACTGCAGAATTAGGGCAGTTTGACAACATTTGAACTGCCATGGCTCAATGCTATGGGATCATGGACCTTGTAGCTTGATATGATCTTCTCTGCCAAAGAATGCTATAGCCTCAATGCTGTTAGAGTTGACATGGGCCAACTTGGGCTCTCCAGGTGTTTTGGACTCCAACTCCCACCATTCCTAACCATTCCTAACAGCCTCAGGCTTAAGCGCTGAGGGGGGAAAGGAAAGGGCCTGAGGCTGTTAGGAATGGTAGGAGTTGGAGTCCAAAACACCTGGAGAGCCCAAGTTGGCCCATGCCTGTGTTATGGATCTATAGGAGATGCTCTTTCTTGTGGCAACACGGCTCTTGAGCAGAAAAAAACTGGGAATCGTAGGGTTGCATAGCACTGAGCCAAGAAGGAGGCTCAATTGGCGTTGATGTGAGTGCCCTCCAAGAAACCTGGCAGTGGAGCCTCCTCCAGCTTCTCCACGTTGCCCTCCAGCTCCTTGTCTCCTGGGGAAGCCCAAAGGAACCTGGAGGGCAGTCTGGAGAGGGCTGAGAAAGCCTCTCTGAAGGCAGCGAAGCCCGGATCCCAGTCGCTCCCACTCTGAAGGGTCTCAAGTCCAAGTTCCGGCGCTCCCGTCGAAGGGAAGTCGGTCGGGTTTGGGGAGGAAGCCCCAGCCCTCCTGCTCCTGCTTGTCCCACTCACCTGTCCTCCTGGCGGGTCCCGGGCAGGCTTTCGGCGGCGCCTTCCTGCTCCAGGGCGCAAGCGGCGCTGAGCGCGGCGGCCAGCAGCTCCATGCTCGGCGGCGGTGGCGGCGTCGAGGAAGAGGAGGAGGAGGAGGAAGCAGGCTCCGGCAACAGCGACCGCAGGAGCAGAGACTCCGGCAGCAGCGACCGTCCGCTTCTGCTGCTACGGAGCGATTCCGCAGCAGGCGCGCGGTTGGGGGAGTCCGGGCGGTTGCCACGGAAACCGGGGTAGGAAGGGAGCAGCCTGCGGAGGAGGGGAAGAAAGGGGGAGAGGACGAGAGAGAGAGAGAGAGAGAGGGAGGGAGAGTGAGAGAGTGAGAGAGAGAGAGCGTGCCTCAGAGGAAGGGAAGAGAGGGAAAGAGAGAGGGAGATACTCTCTGCTCTCCTTCCTTTCCTTTCCTTTTCCCTTCCTTTCCCCTTCTTTTCATTCCCTTTCCCTTTTCTTCTCTTCCCTTTACTTTCCCTTCCCCTTCTTTGCATTCCCTTTCCCTTCTCTTCCCTTACTTTGCCTTCTCCTTCTTTTCACTTCCCTTTCCTTTATTTTCCCTTTTCTTTTCTTTCCTTTCCTTCCCTTCCCCTTCTTCTCCTTTCTCATTCTTTCCCTTTCCCCTTCACTTTCTGATCTCTTCCCTTACTTTCCCTTCCCTTCTCCTCCTTCTCCCTTCTTTTTCCCTTCTTGTCCCTTTTCTTTTCTTCACTTACCTTCCCCTTCTTCTCCTTTCCCATTCTTTTCCCTTACTTTCCCTTCCCCTTCTTTTCCCTTCCCATTCCCTTCTCTTCCCCTTTCTTCCCTTCCCTTCCCTTCCCCTTCTTCTCCTTTCCCATTCTTTCCCCTTACTTTCCCTTCCCTTTCTTTTCCCTTCCCATTCCCTTCTCTTCCCTTTTCTTCCCTTCCCTTCCCCTTCTTCTCCTTTCCCATTCTTTTCCCTTTCCCTTCCCTTTCCCTTTCCTTTCCCTTCTCTTTGCTTCCCTTCTGTTCTCTTTCCCTYYCCCTTATTTTCCTTCCCTTTTCTCTTTCCCTTCCCTTTCCGTTCTTTTCCCATTTTTCTTCCCTTCTCTTCCCTTTCCCTTTTCTTCCTCTTCTTTTCCCTTCCCTTGCCCCTTCCCCTTTCCCTTTCCCTTGCCTTGCCCTGCCCTTCCTTCTGCCCTAATGATTCTCGAACTTCTTCCACTGCTTTTGGAGGCACCTTCCTCCTCTGGAGCTACTTTGCCCAAGGAAAAGGGAGAGTACAAATGGGCATATAGGCTGTTCCTTTGGGAATTAGCCAGCCCTGACAAATTGCTATCTTATTGTTCTCTAAGGATATCCCCCCCCCTCCTTCAAAGGGAGCCCTCACCTCTACTAGAAGAAGGGACCGGTCAGAGCATCACCAGTCCATTGCTTGGAAAACAGACCCTACAGTGGGCATGGGTAAACTAAGTCCTGGGAGCCAGATGATGCCCTCTGGGTGATTACCTCAGGTCCTCCTAATTATCCCTGTCCTCTTGGCAGGATGTCTGCCACATCCTCATGCCAAAAAGACTGGGGAGGAAGCCACACAGAAGGTGAGAGCCCTCTGAAGCACTCTCAGCCACCATATGTCTCACCCTCCTCCCAGCATAAGGACCGTGGGAGTTGCCCCATCCTTATGCTGGGAGGACAACTCAAGAAAGGCATGTGGTGGCTGATTGCCCTCTGGAGCCCTCTCAGCTACCGCCTGTCTCACCCTCCTCCTGGCATAATGCCATGAGGAAAGCCCAAGGATGGGGGGGGGAGGGTTGGGGCAGTCACCATGTGTCCCACCTTCCTCCTGGCATAAAGATGGGGCAAGCAGCCTTGTTCTTATGCTGGGAGGACAACCTGAAGGTGACCCAGGCCTTCCCCTGGCCCCGCCCTTCCTTGGCCCTACCTCTTGTGGGGACACCCCACACAGCGTGCAAATGTCCACCCTCCCTCTCACCCCAGCCCTCCTAGCCAGGCCCGCAATGTGGCCCCAAGACAAAAAAGGTTTACCCCTGCCAGCCCTACAGGTTGCTGGTCATATAGGTTGCCTTTAGAAATTCCCAGGCCTTTCAAAATCCTATCCTATCCTATTAGCCATCGGTCCACTTCTTTGGGCAACTCTATCTTTTAAAAGCTTAAGTGGCTGAGGGGAAAAAGGAAAGGGCCTGAAGCTGTTAGGAACTGTGGGAGTTGGAGTCCAAAACACCTGGAGGGCCCAAGTTTGCCCATGCCTGGTGTAGAGGGAGCCCAGCCAAATAATACATTATTACTGTATTTTGACTACTGGTTGGAAAGTGAGATGGGAAACTACTTGTTAGGATTTGTTCCAAAATGACTTAATGGAGACAGATGTCAGAGAGGGGCAGCATGTGCTACTCCGCTTCAGGTGGCTGCCAAGGTTTCTTTCTTATGGGAAATAGTCATAAGACACCACTGGCCCATTTAAAACAATATTATCACACTTGGCTGGCGAATTCCCCAAGGTCTCTGTCTCAGCTTTGCTGCGATTATTTTCAGATAGCAAGGACAGAACCGGATTTTCCAAGGACACAGCCACTGTTTACAAGGCCACGGTTTCCAAACTAATTGAGTTGGATTGCCTTGATTTCTATTGTATCCATGGATTTCGTGTCCACGGAGTCAACCATCCAAGGCAAAACAGAGACAAAACAAAAGCACTCTTTGATTTATATAAAGGACACCATTTCACAAGGTATTGTATATAATGGGAGTTGAACACCCATTGATGTTGGTATCCTTCTAGGTCCTGGTATCTGCTAGGGTTAATTTGTTTATCAGTCACAATCAGGATGGGTAAATTGGAAATGGCTTGCTGGTTTCCTCAGTTTCTGTATACAGTACATGCATAAGGCTAGGCTTCTAATCCTTTTTTGTTATGTTGAATATAAAATTGTGCCGTTTTGATTAGCATTGAATGGCCTTGCAGCTTCAAAGCCTGGCTGGTTGCTGCCTAGGGGATCCTTTGTTGGGAGGCGTTAGCTGACCCTGATTGATTCTTGTCTGGAATGCCCCTGTTTGTGAGTGTTGCTTTTTATTTGCTGTCCTGATTTTAGAGTTTTTAATGGCCTTGCAGCTTCAAAGCCTGGCTGTAAATAGGACAGTAAATAAAGAGCAACACTTAAAAAACTCAGAGGAATTTCTGACAAGAATAAGTCTGGGCCAGTTAATACCTCCCAACAAAGGATTCCCAGGCAGCAATCAGCCAGGCTTTGAAGCTGCAAGGCCATTAAATGCTAATCAAGGTGGCCGATTGCAACATTCACACTTGTCTCAAACAAACAAGAGTTCTTTCTTTCACCCTGGACATTCCACATATATATAAACCTCACTTGCGTAGTTTCCAACAGATCTCACCTCTGAGGATGCCTGCCATAGATGTGGGCAAAACATCAGGAGATAATGTTTCTGGAACATGGCCACACAGCCCAGAAAACTCAGGGCAAGGCAGTGATTCTAGCCATGAAATCTTTCAACAACATATTCTGATGTTTATCTGATGTCCAAGAAGTAATCTCCTGAAAGCTGGAGTGTAGGAGGAGAGTTATTTTTCTCCATTTCTTTCTATTTCTGTGTATAAAGTGTACTTATTTTTAGAGAATAAAAAGGATGAACTGAATTTACCATCTTTCATTAATACAGTGATTTCCAGATCTGAACAACAGAGAATCATTCCTAAAAATCGCATCAGTTCTGAAAACTGTAAACCAATGTTTTTCAACCTTCTGAATGCTGTGAACGCTTAATGCAGTTCCTCATGTTGTTTGACCTCTAACCATAAAATTATTTTTGTTCCTACTTCATAATTGTAATTTTGCTACAGTTATGATTCATAATATACATATCTGATGTATATTTTCATACACTGGACCAAATTTGGCACAAATACCTGATATGCCCAAATCTGAATAGTCGTGGGGTTTGTTGGGGAGGGGGTTGATTTTGTCATTTGGGAGTTGAAGTTGCTGGGATTTATAGTTCACCTACAATCAAAGAGCATTCTGATGTAATTGAGCCAATATTGGCACACAGAACTCCCATGACCAACAGAAAATACTGGAAGTGTTTGGTGGGCATTGAGTTTGGGAGTTGTAGTTCACCTACATCCAGAGAGCACTGTTGACTCAAACAATGATGGATCTGGACCAAACTTGGCACGAATACTCAATATGCCCAAATGTGAACACTGGTGGAGTTTGGGGGAAACAGACCTTGACATTTGGGAGTGAGAGTTGTAGTTGCTGGGATTTATAGTGGGAGGATTCGCTGTTTGTTTCCAAAAAGGAAGAGGACAGGTGGAGAGATCTTCAGCCTTCTCTGCCAAAGGGGTTCCTATGACCATCAGAAATACATGTTTTCAGATGATCTATGGCAACTTCACTGAAACCCCCTCGCGATCCCCCCCAGGGGTCCTGACCCCCAGGTCCAAGCTATACCCAATCTACAGTTGTCGTTGTTGTTATTTATACCCCACTTTTTCTCTCCACAAAGGCAAAGACAAAGACTCAAGGCAGCTCCTATGCCTGAAGAACACCATCACCCCTACACAGACAGAGGAAAACAATAAATGCTAGAACATAAGCCCATCCAAATCCTTCATAAATGTAATGCAGGCAACAGGGGAATTAACATTACCTAAAGGTAAAGTTTTCTTCTTGACATTGTCTAGTCGTGTCTGACTCTTGGGGGTGGTGCTCATCTTCATTTCTAAGCCAAAGAGCCAGCGTTGTCTGTAGATACCTCCAAGGTCATGTGGCCAGCATGACTTCATGGAGTGCTGTTGCCTTCTCATGGGAACAGTACCTATTGATCTACTCACCTTTGTATGTTTCCAAATTGCTAGGTTGGCAGAAGCTGGGGCTAGCAACGGGAGCTCATCCTGCACCCTGGAATTTTTTTGGTCAGTACCTCAGCAATTTAACCTACTGCACTACCAGGGTCCTTTAACATCACCTACTCTTTGTATATTCAAAGAATACAGCATGACATAGGGTAGTGTCATGCTTCAGGCTGGTTTTTACCATACCTATGCACCCTCCATAGGAGCCCGTCGTGGTGCAGTGGGTTAAACTGCTGAGCTGCTTAATTTGCTGACTGAAAGGTCGGTGGTTCAAATCTAGGGAGTGGAGTCAGCTCCTGCTGTTAGCCCCAGCTTCTGCCAACCTAGCAGTTTGAAAACATGCAAGTGTGAGTAGATCAATAATAATAATAAGAACAATAATAATAATAATAATAATAATAAT